GGACCCCCACCCCACCGCGAAGCGGCAAACGCGCTGGACGGATGGATGGACGAATGGATGCTAATGGCTGTACCCTTTATATCGGGCGGCAGCTTGCGCCACCTAGCCTAGTTGTACGTCATTCAATTCTCCCTAGATAATTTCCACCGGTCTTCCATTATCTCTTTGTTAATAAAATGCACTTATCATTCATTCTTCCATTCTCGTCTGCAAACCCCGACGTGGCGTCTCTAGTCCCGCTAAAAACTGGACTATATATAGACGCCGCGCAGTGGCAGTCGCGTTGTGAGCTGGCGGGCCTTTTCTTGTAGCTGGTATTTGCGAATGTAAGTTGTGACAACACGCACTTAACTGTCGTCCATTTTTTTCTTTATTTTTCATGAACGAGAGACGTTGCAACTAAAGACCGCAATTGGTAGAATCGTACCATGCGAAACGTGTTTGACGCGTCTGACTAGAAGACATTGCACAGGTCTTGTATTCTAGATATTAGAGCAGCGGAGTAGATAGCGATCATAATCGAAGTTGTCCGTGGACGCGTGCACCCTAAAAAGACAAGTAGAAATGTAGCCGCCTGTAACGCATTCAGTGTCATGTCGTTGGCGTGACATAATCCCGCTCAAAAGGCTTCTTTTTAATATTATATGAATCTAAAGGGCCAGCAAACGAATATTTTACCTTCACTAATACAATAGCGGAAGAAGGAATTCATAACCTACATATTTTTCTAACAAAAAGGTTTTTTTTTTAACTAATCTTTAGTAAGAGGGTCCACGTGATCCGGCGGTGATGTAAAAAAACAAATACACCGGGGTGTTAAGCAAACACCCCAAAGGTGTTAAGCAAACACCCTTTGAATGCTGGTGTACACCTTAAAATGTAGGCGGTCCTACCAGCCTCCATGAATATTTTCCGTAGCAACCAGTTTACAAGCACCGCGTGGAGCAGCAGCTGTGATACAGACGCAATGAATCGTGCACGAGAGAGGAATCACGGCCCTGAATATCTCCTGCCTAGGGAAAAACAAGCCATTGATGTGATTGATTGTGACCGAGGTGAAGTCGCGTCCCCACGCCCTCCCCGTGGTCAACGCAAATGAACCGCGGTTGACAGTCGTCACCCCGATGGTTTTCCTCGACGACGTCAGCCAACGTTGGAAAAAAGAGAGGAACAGTTTGCTTCTATCCTGGAACCGACACAGCAACAAGGAAGCTTCTGGATTAATGGCCTCGCGTTCGAATAGATGCTTTCGAGTCGAGTCAGTATCAGCTCACGTAAAATGCGTAACGTAGAAATCTTATTTTCTCCGATAACTTTTTAAAACCTCATCTCAATGTTTAAAAAAAACGTAATTTTTTTAACGTTTTCCTTTGCGTCTATTGCGTCGTTAGCCCGCTTCTAAAAAAAAAAAGAAAAAAAAAAAAAAAAGGAGGTCGCGTGCCTCCAACGCGTACTCGCGTATTCCTCGTAGCGGTGAAGGGGAAGCGGCTTAAAAAGCGTGACTGACAACTGGTGACGTCATAGCATCCGGTAGGCGACGCATGACACGTGATTATTAGCGGAATTCTCGTATTTTTCTTGATTGCATTGTTTGTTTGTTGGTGTGATTTTCGAGAGAGAGTGAGAGGGACCGGATTTGCCTTTAATAATTCTACACCTGCCTCACATCCCCAATTACATGACTCCTCCGCGTGTTTCCTTTACTATCGGTTTATTGTTTCACCGACTCTCTCCTCGCACTGGTTAATTATTCTGCATGCTTTGATCGACTAAATAAATGATTTTTTTTTCGCTCATTTTGTTTTTTACAGTTTAACGGAAACACGTGTACGTGTTTGGGATGCCTCATCGCACTTTTTGTTTCCCGGTATTTTTGTTTCTTGTTTTTGCGCCTTTTATTTATTTTATTCTTTATGTTTTGCGATCACGGGCCACTTCCGAAATTAATGGAGCAACGTGGAATCACGACGCGCGCGATGTCCTCAATAATTTTTCCGCCAATTGTGTGTCACCCTCCTCAAATCCCTCGATAGCACACTGGAGCGAGTGCTTGGCAAACGTCGATAAAATAGGCAGACATTGGCATCGATCATTCAACAAGATGCGCTTGCTCACGCAAACCTCAAAGCGCGCGCACTGCGCGCTTCGTTATTGCTAGTCCGTAGACTTTCCGGATGTAACCACCGAAAAATATCGATAAACATCTCTCGGTTTCAATGACACAGAATGGCTCGAAATCGATAAACATCTGTCGGTGTCAAAAATACACGATCGGTTAAAACCGTAAAACACCGATTTCTAGAAATGAATGCTGTTGCTAAGACTGTTACTGTCGAATCGTCGGCTCATCGCTTTTCAACCGGCTTTTTTTTTTTCTTTTTTCTTTTTTTCGCCGATAGCGTTTGTTTGGAACAGATCACAGAAAGGCACCTATATCTTCAAAGAATATACGTCGATATCTAGTGAGAATAATGAACGAAAAATCTACGCCTATAAGCGTTGTCACGTGAAGAAGAACAGCAAGTTTTGCGCGTTGTTCATACGCTGCGCGAACAAGTGTTTACAAAGCTTGGAAGACGCAATGCCTTTGGCGGTTGAAACGTCAACGTTTTTGCAAACCGAACATAGAGCTAACCTAAGATACCCCTACATATACCTCACTTCACCACAGAAATGAGGCAGTTATAGTAATACTCCGCAAACAACGGGACTACTTTTTTTTTCTTTTTCTACGGTTTGAAAGATGCGTCTCCCTCCGCGAAAGAGCGAGCAACAATCCCTCCGCGACGAATGATAACGACTCGCCCAGTGGTCGTCCGCCGGCACACATCTGAAGCGACCAGTCTCTGCGGGCCAAGTCGTGCTACGTCAATGATGATGGGGTTGTGGGGGGGAAGGGGAGGCGGCCAAGGTCAAGAAACCCGATGGCACGCCGAGATTGTGCCGCATCGTCTCCGCGGAACAATATAAAGTTGGGTCCCTCCCTCTCCGACCGCGGAGTAGACGTACCGTGGCGCGTCATTTCCCCAACGCCGCCGCATACGCCCAGTTCCTCGCTGCTGTTGTCGCACACTTTACAGCTTATGACTCCGAAAGGCCTAGAGTGCCTAGATCACAGAGTTTCTAAATCTGCTCAATGGGGATAACGTGGTTTATGGGCTGCGTTTGCAATACAAGCTGCGAGAAGGGGATGGATGCGTTGGTCGGCTGCAACCGTCTCCCGTCCGCTTTCCTTCATACCACACAGGTCGGCGCATGCACATTTGCAACGAATTTGCCCAGGAGGTGTCCGACATTAAATTGCAAACGCTCTTTATTGCTTGAGTTGCTCTCACTCTCAAATCTAGGCTCTCCATGAAGGCCTCCTGGCTGCATGCGCCCCAACGGTCCAGGCTACGGCCTAATCAAAATGCACTCAAAGCAGTTCTTGGGTGTACCTGCTGTTATAGTTTTTTCGCGAACCGTCTTTGAGGCCTACAAGAGGGAAGGGTCCCGCCAAAAGAGACAATCGAGCATAATTAGAGAAGCTCCGCCCCCCGAGCCTACTTATGTGGGTGGACGCCATCTTGGAAAATGGGAGAGATGCACCTTGTCGGCGGAGAGACGCGGGAATGATTGGCGTGGTGAGAGTTCTGGTGGGAAGCCGTAGCGCGAGAGAAGCGCAAGACATCGATCGGGGTCGCCATACTGTTCGCTGCGACGCTAACGATGCCTGGCCTGGGTGGCTGCCTGCCTGACGTCATTCGTTCCAGCAGCCAATGGGAGGCCCTCGTGTCGTCAGTCCGGAACGGCGCGGCGTGTCAAACGTCTTTTGACTCTCAGGGCGCTTTTCAGAACTTTTCCGCCTGACAACGCAGTTTATCTGAGGCTAGCAGACGACTACCACCGCGGCGAGCAGTGATCCTGCTGTTGCCCGCGGGCTGTATGTCGCGAGCCGCTTTTCTAGCATTCTTTCTTCACAATTGAGACGAGTTATTTTTTATTTGTTTAAATTTGAAAGATAAACTAGGTCATACCAAGACCGATTCTTAAACTCCTGGAGTAATATGTTGATTCAGCGCCATAAGAAGTGATGACTGTGGCAAGAGAAACAGTATTTTATTAATAATTCACGACAGATATTCCATGTTTCAAAGCAGATATTAAATTCGTTGGCTAATCTTATACTTAAAGAAGTAAATCGTGCGGTTTTCTTTAGACCACCCATGCTGTTTAAAGGAATTAGTGGTTCATTGTACAAGTTGAACGATATAAGACACATTTAGGCGGTCATGAATTCCATTTCCTTCCTACAATTTAGGCGAACAAAGACGACCCATTTAGTTCCCCATCGGGAGGATTCTTTTGTTTAAAATCACTTCCTCAGAAAAAAAAAAAAAAAAATCGAAATGTATAGATATTTTAACACATTGCTACAGTTATTTTTACTTAAAATTTCATAAGACAAGTCGCAAAAACGCTCTAACCTCCCACACATCACAGTGCTACCACGGAAGCACCCACGGAGGCCCAAGAGAAAAGGAATCATGAATCAGCGGGGCTGGATAAAACTATTCGCACACACAACCGCACTCCCTCGCGATGACTTATTTTTATATTCTTATATATGTTACCCCTCCCTCGAAGTGCGCGATGCTAGGGAGCTTTTCCCTGCGTGGCGATCGATTTTTGGACGCCGTAACCATGGTTACAAGAGTTCCAATACGCGACCAGCGCGCGGCTTCTTCACATTCCGTAGCAGAGGTAACGAAGGAAACAGAGCTCGCGCTTCCCATCTCCAATGTTCGTGGTGGTTTCAGTATGTTGTGTTAACAAAGAATCACAAGACGGCCGCGTTAACGACGTTCACAACTACGTTCCCCTGTAGCTGAAATCACGGTAGTTAACGATTCATTAAACGGCAGTTCCCGTCTTCGAACCCGAAACCAAAACAAGCCAAAAAGAAAACGAAAACAATCCGGCCGGTGGCGCCGCCTGCCGCGCAAGAAAAAAACCCCGAAGTGTGCGAATGTGTGTGTGAGTTTTTCCGTCGCAAACAAACATGGCTGTCTCTTCGAAAGCGGATTCGATGTTTAATTACCACAGACATTCGGTGCCCTTCGCGTGTTGAATCCTTCGGCCGGGAGCAAGTGCGGGCTCGACCGAGAAAGACGGACCGGTCCGGTGGTGAGGTATCAGGTGCAACAAAACCTAGCTTAGGCCTAGCGATGCTGCGAGCAAGCGCCCGTGGCCCCCGCTCGGCGTTCGTCCTCGCAACACAGGACCCATACCCCTGCATTGCGGCCTTCATGAGGTAAATAAAACTGCCAGTGTCTCGCGTGCACGACCTAATCTCTCGACTAGCGCACCGCTGAACCGAGCGTAGCCCGTTCCGGGGAGTTCGGGTCGCACAACTGTGCGACGCTGACGTGGAGAGAAGTGTATTGATTCCACGCAACGAACTGTCCACCCAATTTTTGAATAGGAAGCCGTTTGTTATTTCTCGACCACCGTATCTTTTCGGACACTTAAAGTTCCCAAATCGATGGGGTGTGGACAGCAAAGCGAAGCGAGACGCGTCGTGAGTTCGTTCGACGGGACGTAGGTTTTATTGGTGGTCGAGTAGTCGGTCTAATTAAATTTCATCGCGCGTTCTGACGCAGGAATTGCATTAACTGAGCTGTACCATCCTTCGCTCTATTCCCCTTTATTTATTTTATTATAATTGTTTCTAGAGTATGGGGAGGTAGTTTCTGCGGATCTACGGCGGTAGGAAGCAGAGCGCTTGGTTAACCGAGGAAGTTCTAAAGCCGTGCATGGCTTCCGACGTATCATGTCGTCTAGGCTTGCGCGCTGTCGCTATGCCCGGAGACGAACGCGGATTCCCAAAAAAACTGCTTCCTCGTTCGTGATCGCCGGTCTGCTCAAAGATGAGCGCTGGGTGGACTGGGGCGCTTCCAAAACCCACGAATCCAGCTGTATATCGACTCGAAACGCGCTGCGATAGCTCCTGCGCGATTGTAAACATTGGGGGGGTCACTGAAGCGTGGCAAGCGTTGCCTGGCGGTGTCGGTGGATTTTTGGGCTGGTTTTCATGATGTACCGAGGGACACATTTGAGCTTGTATTTGGGCTTTTAACTGTCATCGCTTGGTCCGAGGAGGTCACAAGTATGCTCCATTCTGTGTGTGTTCGTATGTGTGTGTGTGTGGTGCTAGCTGCACCCTGAGTCGCCTTTGCTAGCTGCAATTTTTGTTTTGGTTCTCAGCTTGATTGAAACGGAAACTTCTAGGTATGATAGTTCCTATTGGAAAACAAAGAAGGCTGAGTGTTGAAAACTATAATCATCAGGTAAAGTGAGACAAAAAGAATTAATAAACGCCAAAAATCTGGCGTCTGTGCTTGCCATCAGTGCTTACAGTTGCTACCTCATTCCGAAATGTTTAGCATGCGACAAGTTATGTCAAGTTGCCTTTCTTTCGTAACCTTTCGCACATGAAATCTGCGGACATCTTTCTTTTTCGCTTCCTCTCTTTATTTGATTATTCAAGGAAGATAATTTGATCTTTACGCTCCCTTCATTCCCTTGGGTCATTGTGCGCAACTACAGTGCACCTGCATTTCTGCATGCAGGGGACTGAACAAGTTTGAAGCAGTGTTTGCTCAGCACAGCTGCTTTGAGCTAGTATTTAATTTGGAAACATTGTTTATTCAATCAAGTTTACTCAAACAGGTGGCTAGAAGCAGAATGATTAATTATTTTGAAGTTCAGGAAGCTTTTTTTTTTATTTTTTTTTATTAAACGAACATGTTCATTTAGGTTTGTTGCCATGGGAACTAGACTTTCACCAGTATATTGACCGCTGGTTGCATTCAGCTTCTGTTCATACTGCTGCCAGTCATATCACAGTGGCAAAGTGTTGCTATTTTTTTATTTTTTTATTTTTTATAATGATAAGGTTTTTGAGAATTAGCCAAACAAGTATGGTAAGGTATTTCTGTGAGTGCATCGATATTGTGTTTATCGCTTGTCTGCTGTCAATATATGGTTACCTCTTACGTGCTGTCTGGCATTATTTGCGGCTACGGTTTGACCACTTCTGAATTGAGCCAGTTGGTTTTCTAGATATGAATGCATGAAAGAATAAAATCGTAGAGAGACGGGGACAGAAACAAGTTTTTGTCCCTGCTTTCTATGTTTTTATCCTTTTATGTATTTGTATGTAATTCACCAACATGCTCAACTTCAAATAATGTTCTCTAGCTTGTGCTGCAATACTGTTGCGATGTCAGCATTCTTGGATGAGCTTGAAATTGTGTGCATGCTGTTTGGCAGAGTATCAAGAAATGGCTAAAGCTAAAATATCTTACATCATTGCGTGGTTTGTTGAGGTTTTCTGTGAAACTCGCTTTTGCAATAGGAACTTGAGTGATTTCCGATGTAACACGAAAATAGAATCACTTTATAAAAGTTTGGAGACTTGAGATCCCTGCCAGATGGGAATCCTAAGATAAGGATCATATGATAGGAGGCACCCTCATATCACATTAAAGATCTCAGTTTAGAAGGAAGGATCCTTGAAGCACATTTCTTTCATGCTTGAATCTTCACCAAGTTCTGCCACAGCTTTAATTGCAACCACACAGGGAGCAATCGGCTGTTCTCTCCCTCTGCGGGTACCGATATGCCAAATGTTTGTGGCGTGGAGTTGCATAGCCATCTCATGGGCACAGAGAAAAAGCCCGCGTACTGGGAGAAGTGCACATACATACTTTGCATGTTTGAATCTAAATTCAGTATGGAGGTTGGTGCATTTTATGCATGCTTCCTTCGGTTGACAAGGTGGTGTTCTTTGCATGCTGAGCGGTAACGTCTGCGGAAGAACAGTAGAATGGTGTACACTGCAGAGGGAGCGACGTGCTCCCTCCTTCTGTTGCTCTAGTAATCTATGTTTACATCTCGTGCCCAATGCCACGGACGGTCCTTTGATTACTTGGTCTGGAATCTTTTTGTTGCGCTACGGGAAAGGTTTTTCTAGGAACAGATTAAAGCACCGGAGCGGCGCTGCCAGCGTTAGGATTTAACCAGCCAGATCTCTCGGGAAGACCGAATGGGTAGACGTGAGTTCAGGAAAACCACCATAAAGGAAATTGTTAGACGCACCGGCTCTTTCCTTAGACTCCATGTAACCGTCAAAAAGGGCGGACGATTGTAAACACCATCAATGCTTGGAACCTAGATGTCATATTATTTCCGGATAATTAAAACGCTATATATAAATAACGAAAAAACTACAACTGCTTTTTGAAAAAAAAAAAGTTTAGAAAAAAACCTTTCTTTGTTATTTTAGTCCTACATAGATTAAGACTGCTCGTAGTGACAAAATTTGTTAGGACGGAAACAGTTTTTGGGTTTCTAGACTACGGTAATATCCCAGGAGATAGCCTACCTAAAATCAAGAGCGAATCGACTGAAAATATGGAGTGGGCGAACTTTCGGTGTACCATCGAGAAAAGTTGCAAAAAAAAGTTTTTTTAAGGTCACGTGTCCCTTTCAAGCTGGTTATGGTGACGAGGAGCAGTGTAGAAAGATGGCTGCACTTCCCAGTCAGCAATGTTCGCTTATGTCCCGTCATAGCTAACTGGATGCATTTACGCCGGGGCCATAATCTACCCCAATGCTACTATTACTAAGGGTGGGCTATCTTTAGGTGCTTAAAGAAATATAGCAAATAAAGCCAGAAATAGAGGTGGGCTATCTTTCGGGGGTGGGACATTTCTCGGGATTTTACGGCATACTCCGTTCACCCCCACGGTGACAGTGCGGTGGAAGCTGTGCCCTCGATGAGCCAACCGTTTGTCTCCCTTTCGCCATGTGGTCACGCTCCCACGCATAGCATAAGAGTAATTGTGTTGTATATATGTTTAGACAGCCGGAAGTTTGTCAGGCTCTGTGGGCGACTTCTCTCTCAGCTCTAGATGAGAAATTCAGCCAGTGATGTACCAACTGCTAGTCTGGGGTCCTAAACGTGCACCACGCTGTAGCAATGCACGACCACGTGCCAGTGCGATGCTCACCCTGATCAAAACGGGCTTGGGTGGGGATTGAACCCAGGATCCCTGGGTTCTGCAGTGCTAGCTTTCGCAGCCCCACGCTCCGAGTCGCAGTGCGTTAGCACGCTCGGCCACGAAGTTGTGCATAGGGAGTTGAGTTGGGCGATGAAGGGAAGGGCATCCGATTGCATCAGTAGTGAGAGATGGGCTAATTGATACATTGTTCCTGCACTTAGTGCAGGAACAAATCAAATGCATAATGTACTTGATTGGTCCGGTAAATGCATAGCTTTTGTTGCACCATCAGGCTAGGAGTTTTTAGAATAGAATAGAATAGTTTATTCCAGGTTTCTTTCAAAAATACATTTTCCAGAATCGTCTCACTTAAGCACATGTGTGCTTGTGTGTGAGCCATGATGAGTTAATGGAGTTTAGTTAGTGGTTTCTCTAATAATTGTGATGATGCTTCAAACATTCTCGCATATATTTAGAATGAAGCCGTGAAACCTTCATCTTACTGGTACCGAGTCGCAACATATTTGAGGTGTAGAGTCGCTATCTCATTCATGGCTACCAGGCCAAGCACATATTGCAATGCACCGGGAAAAGTGGCCATTGAAGCTGACGACAATTACTTCTCATGTATTCAAAGCCTTGTGTCCTCACCACACCACTCATCTAAAAGTGGGTGGGGAGGCAGCCCTGAACAGCTAATTGAAAAACAGCAATTTTTGAATGTTAAAAAAAAAATTTGTCGAGCCGGATTTTTTTTTTTTTTTGTTAACAATTGTGTTTTGAAGGAAAAAAAAGATATTGGCATTTTGAATACTTTATCGGAGGCCCTTTGACATCCATACTGTTATTTTATGTTGTTTTGCCAGAGGGATCCTGCATTGTGATCCTACATGCGGCCTCAGGCGGTTGACAGTGCACATTTGTATGCCGTCGAAATCCGCATTGTCGGATATTTGCGGCGATGTTGGTTGGTCATCGGTGCTTTTCCACTTTAGATTGTGAAGTGCTGTGTTTCTCAGTTTGCCTTTTGTTTTTCTCTTTTTTCGTCTATGCTGTAGATTTTGCAAAATTTTGTATCATGATCAAAATAAAAACAGTTAATTTTTTGTCCTTTTTTTTTAATTTGAGGAACATATTTACTTTTCTTTGTTTGGCAACAAACTCAGTGGCGCCGTCTATTGGGTGGCCGTGGTACTGTTCCGGCCTGCGTATATTTCCTAATTTTTGTGTGTATCATGCTTGCATC